CCCCCCCCCCCCCCCCCCCCCCCCCCCCAATTCCTGGTGAGTCCAGATCCACCTGGATCTTAAAACAAGGAAAAATCAATTAGGTTCTTAAAAAGAGGGCTTTTAATTAAAAGAAAGAAAGGTAAAAATCATCTCTGTAAAATCAGGATGGAAAATAACTTTACAGGGTAATCAGATTCAAAGAACCCAGAGGAACCCCCTCTAGCCTTAGGTTCAAAGTTACAGCAAACAGAGGTAAACCCTCTAGCAAAAAGAACATTTACAATTTGAGAAAACAAAGATAAAACTAACACGCCTTGCCTGGCTGTTACTTACAAGTTTGAAATAGGAGAGACTTGTTCAGAAAGATTTGGAGAGCATGGATTGATGTCTGGTCCCTCTTAGTCCCAAGAGCAAACAACCCGCAAAACAAAGAGCACAAATAAAAGCCTTCCCCCCCACCAAGATTTGAAAGTATCTTGTCCCCTTATTGGTCCTTTGGGTCAGGTGTTAGCCAGGTTACCTGAGCTCCTTAACCCTTTACAGGTAAAAGGATTTTGGTGTCTCTGGCCAGGAGGGATTTTATAGTATTGTACACAGGAGGGCTGTTACCCTTCCCTTTATAGTTATGACAAACACAAATTTGAATATAACACGGTAAAGCAGTGCTCCGGGGGGGCGGGACTGCACACTCTGACGGATCAAAGCAAGTTCGATATAACGCGGTTTCACCTATAACGCGGTAAGATTTTTTGGCTCCCGAGGACAGCGTTATATTGGGGTAGAGGTGTATTTGGCACACTATAAATACCCTGTGCCATTTTTCTTGTGTATCCTAAGAAACAATATTATCATGGTTAATTGTACTGTGATTTTACAAATTGTCCATATTATATAGTTCTTAATTTGTAATGTGTATATTCCTTTTAATCCACCAGTAGAAAAACTACCTTTAAATAAAATTGCAGTTAAAAATTAGCAGAGGGAGATGCCCATAAAAATGTAAGTTGAAAACTTGCATTGCTGTAACTCATGCCATTGGTGTGGATGGAGGTGAAAGAGTGAGTCCAAAAGATATAGATGGAATGCCAATTTCAACTTAGAATTTGTTTTTCAGTATGTTGCAGGCTTAATTTTTAACAGTCATGAGATTTTTTTATTACTGGATAATCATTTAAGAAAGTTTAAAAATTGCTAGAATCATTCTGGTATTAGACTATACTAGTATGATACGATACCAAAGGAATTTCCCTGCAAAAAATTACTGTCTGTTGTGGGTATGCTATTTTTAAAATTTGATATTTTTGACTTTTGAATATGGGAAAAACTTGTTCATATAAGCTTAATTTCATTTTGTAAATTTAGTTAGACTTTTACAAAAGAGTGCTAGAATGACATCTAAATTTTATTATTAAAAACTTCATGCAAAGTTTTAGTGCACAGCAAACGTAGCTGATTATGAATCATGAAAAAAACCCTAAGTTGACAGAGAACCTTAAATATAGATGTAGGTATGATATCTCTACACCTCTCGCTACTGGTTTGGCTTAATTAATAAAATGAGTACCAATATTTTAAGGTCTGGAGTACCCCACAATTGTGTAGCTCAGGGGTAGGCAACCTATGGCACGTGTGCCAAAGGTGGCACGCGAGCTGATTTTCAGTGGCACTCACACTGTCCGGGTCCTGGCCACCAATCCGGGGGGCTCTGCATTTTAATTTACTTTTAAATGAAGCTTCTTAAACATTTTAAAAACCTTATTTACTTTACATACAACAATAGGTTAGTTATATATTATAGACTTATAGAAAGAGACCTTCTAAAAATGTTAAAATGTATTACTGGCACGCGAAACCTTAAATTAGAGTGAATAAATGAAGACTCGGCACACCACTTCTGAAAGGTTGCCAACCCCTGGACTAGCTTAGAAAAATAGCTTTTGTCTCAAGTTTAGACCTAAATGATTATGGAGATCTATATGTTTTGTGCCATGTACCCAAGCTTAGAAAATGGTCATAAAATTAACATCTTTGCTTTGTTCTTTTTACAAGATAAGCATAAGGACCTCAAAGGTGCTTTTTCCATTTGTGTGGTTTTAAACTTAGATAGCTATATCAATTGCTTTGATATTAGTTGAATTTTAACTTATAAATTATAGCTCCAAATCCAAAAATGAGCATCTCTTTGGGGCCACTCTGCTTTAATTCCCTCAAAGAGGAACTTTCATACTTTGGCAAACTTGAAAATATAATCAATTTACTGAGCCTTTACATTTTTCTGCCTCCTGCTGCTATTTGAAAATCTGTTTTTTGGTTAAGAACTTTCAATTACTCCAGTTCTGCTTGATCTAATGATGTTATCTGGCATTTACCATTGTCACTGTTTTCTTTGGTGGTGCTTCTGATGTCACAAGGTCAGTCTTGTGATTTCACTGAAGGATCAAATAGAGCTTGAGTTTGGGGAGCCCTTGTTTAAAATCATTTGAAAGGGAAGGAGCAATAATGAAAAGTATAAGATTTGAATTTGTTTAGGTATAAAGTTATGTGAAACACAAGTCCCACTTAAACTTTTAGATTAGTTAATGTGGAGAATTGTAACAGACTGTGAATCAGTGTGGTTATTAAATATTGATTTTTTGTAAATAAAGCGTTCATTTTTATTTTGGATTGATTGTGAATTCCCTTCTATTTCAAGAGAATTGATTTGTTGCTGTTTATGTTGAAATAGTCAAAATTGTTTAATAACTTTTATTTTTGTTCCTATGTTCCAGGTAATTGTTTGAAAGTGTTACATGCAAATATTGATTAGAGCTAGCAGAGAGGAAACTGCTGTTTTTTAAAATGCTGAAAAAAATCTCTAATAAACCTTTGACCTTTCTCCTGAAACATGTAGACAAAAAGTAATCCAATATCCATGATGACAGAACTGATCTACTTTCTGCATAAAAGATTTGTCCCTTGGTAAAAAAATTTTTTTTTTTTTTGCTCTGATACTCTTATGCTAGAGTTTGAAACTTAGGGAGAAAGATTTGACCCCAAATATTTCTCTTTCCTTTAGTTATTGGCAAAATTCCCATTGACTTCAATGAGAGGATACTTATTTTCAAAGGATCCTCAATTCTGTCTTTGCCTGCACATGTTATTTTTCACCACTAAGACTTGTGTGAGCAGTTGATAAAATTTTCATGTGCAAACCATTTGTGGCCATAGATGTGAGTGCACGGGTATTGCATGCAAGTGAAATATGGGATCTGACAATTCAGGTCTCCTACTCTGACTTTGCAAACTGTGCACAATTTCCTAAGCAGTTCACTTTTATAGGGTTCTGTTCCCACTGTTGTCCGTGTCTCTTCCTGAGCTGTGCAGGAATAAAAGTGGCAGTGCTTGGTTTCACTCTACTGCTAGGAGCAGTACGTGCAGGAGAAGCACAAATGCAAGAGCAGTAGAAATTAATTAGTAACCATAAGAGACTTAAATAAAACATCTCCCTAAAATAAGATTCCTCTTGTCTATTAATTGTTTTGGTGGAGTAGAGAATTCTTCTACCCTTGATAATTTTTAAAAAAAGAAAAACTATGGTTAACATCTTATAGTGCTTTGTGATCAGTGACATTTATGTCAAGGTCTTAGATTTGCGCTGAACACAAGGGAGAGAATTAGTGGTTTTCTCATCTGTGAATAAGAGTTAATGGAAATGCAGCAGTATACACTATTTTCAGTGAACATTAATATACCGTGAGATAAGGGAAGCCTAATGGATTTGCTAGTTATCGAATTATGTAAAACTTCCTTGTAGTTCAAACTTAATTAAACTATGCATTTTATAGTAATACAATTTCCATCAGTCTGGTTGTGATTTATTTTTTGATAGGGATAGCGATTAGATAAGTTGGTGTTCTACTGTGGTTTAGAATGGTAACACTTGCCCAGATCTATTTAATTCCTATAGCTATTTACCTGAAAACCCCAGCAATAAATGATAGGTTAGGCAAGGAATGGAACATTAATAAATTTTAAGAAAGATTAAACATTCTTCAATTGTTCAGATGACACTTGAACATAGATTTCATTCACATTATTTTTAGTCTTTCTGAATTACAAACTTGGGGATTGAGTGATTTTGATGATCTATAGTGAATATGGGAACAGTACATTCTCTTACATGGCAAAAGTTATAAATTTCTCTGGTCCCCTATAGTCTTGTGGATTGATCACAAGGCTGAAGAATCAAGAGTCCTGAAATCTCTTCATGGCTGCTATTTCCTTGCGGTGACAATGGGCGACTTTAGTCCCATTTACTTGGATGGGAGCTCCAGGGGGTGACACTTGGCTTCTCTTGTAGTGAATAGGAGTTTTGCCACAGATTTCAAAAGTTGGGCCAGGCTTTCATCCTGGGTGTTCAGCACTATTGATATTTGAGACACACAAATTTGAAAATGCTAGCCTTAATTTCTCTACCTTAATTTTTCCACCTCTGTAAAGACACAGATACTTTAAGGTCGGATAACTCTGTGTGTGTGTGTGTGTGTGTGTGTGTGTGTGTGTGTGTTTATATAACAGCTTGTCACGGGGTGTCAAGTTGAGGCAGACAATTAAAGGAGTAGCTATGGCTCAAATGGCAAGAGTCACTAGGGTGCTCTCTGTCTTTAGGCAGCTTGGCCTAGTGGCCAGAATCCGTAGGGCCACCCTTGCTCCCAGGACAGTTTGGCCTAGTGCCCAGAGTCATTGGAGCTGCCCTTGGCCAGTCATGTCCGCCCTACATGTGCCTGCACCCAGCAGTAAATGTGGGGCAGGATAGGGGGCCCTAGGCTCACCCTACCCTACCAGGTCCTGACCCGGGCTTTATGAAACCTGTAGTCCTGGATTCAGGCTCGGTTTCCCATTTTAATCTTTGTATTCCCTGGACTGCCTCCTACCCTTGATTCTGGCTCCGTCAGTTCCCTTGAGGGTAGTGACCTCCTCTGATCCCCTGCGGTTGAGGGGAGTTCCAGCTCAGATGCCGTGTTATCAGCCTCGGAAGTCTGTAACTCTAGCAGTTCTCTGGCAGGAGCCTGCAGCATACGTCCACTCTTCTCCTCAGTCAGTCCAGACTGAGCAGGGCTGCTACCTTGTATATCCTGCTTCCAGCTAGAGCATGCCCAGCAGGGGCAAGGGGGCCTGGCCTCTTCAACCCACTGTGTGGTCAATTCCAGGTGGGCCAGTGTGAGCTACATATACCCCGTCACACAGCTACATCTTATATTTCTTAATGTTTTTAATCCTTTACTTGTAAATAAATGTTTTATATAGGGCTGTCAAGCGATTAAAATAATTAATCGCGATTAATTGCACTCTTAAACAATAATAGAATACCATTTATTTAAATATTTTTGGATGTTTTATACATTTTCAAATCTATTGATTTCAATTACCACACAGAATACAAAGTGTACAGTTTATATTTATTTTATTAAAAATATTTTCACAGTAAAAAATAAAAGAAATAGTATTTTTCAGTTCATCTAATACAAGTACTGTAGTGCAATCTCTTTATCATGAAAGTTGAACTTACAAATGTAGAATTATGTACAGAAAAACTGCATTCAAAAATAAAACAATGTAAAACTTTAGAGCTTACAAGTCCACTCAGTCCTACGTCAGCCAATCGCTCAGACAAATAAGTTTGGTTACAATTTACAGGAGATAATGTTGCCCACTTCTTGTTTACAATGTTACCTGAAAGTGAGAACAGGAGTTCTCATGGCACTGTAGTAGCCAGTGTCACAAGATATTTACATGCCAGATGGGCTAATGATTCATATGTCCATTCATCTTCAACCACCATTCCAGAGAATGTACTCTATGCTGATGACGGGTTTTGCTCTATAACGATGCAAAGCAGAGCAGACCGATGTATGTTCATTTTCATCATCTGAATCAGATGCCACTAGCAATTTGATTTTTTTTTTTTGGGGTGGTTCGGGTTCTGTAGTTTCCTCATCAGAGTGTTGCTCTTTTAAGACTTCTGAAAGCATGCTCCACACCCTATCCCTTTCAGATTTTGGAAGGCACTTCAAATTCTTAAACCTTGGGTTGAGTGCTGTAGCTATTTTTAGAAATCTCACATTGGTACCTTCTTTGCATTTTGTCAAATCTGCTGTGAAAGTGTTGTTAAAATGAACATGTGCTGGGTCATCATCCGAGACCATGAAATATATGCAGAAAACTGGTAAAACAGAGCAGGAGACATACAATTCTCCCCCAAGGAGTTTAGTCACAAATTTAATTAATGCACTATTTTTTCAACGAGCATCATCAGCATGGAAGCATGTCCTCTGGAATGGTGGCTGAAGCATGGAGCATACGAGTGTTTAGCATATCTGGCACGTAAATACCTTGCAACGCCAGCTACAAAAGTGACATGTGAACGCCTGTTCTCACTCTCAGGTGACATTGTAAATAAGAAGCAGGCAGCACTAAGCTTGTTTGTCTTAGTGAGTGGCTGAACAAGAAGTAGGACTGAGTGAACTTGTAGGCTCTAAAATTTTACATTGTTTTGTTTTTGAGTGCTGTTATGTAACAAAAAAAAAATCTACATTTGTAAGTTACTCTTTCACAATAAAGAGATTTCACTATGGTACTTATATGATGTGAATTGAAAAATACTGTTTATTTTGTTTATCATTTTTACAGTGCAAATATTTGTAATAAAAATAATATAAAGTGAGCACTGTACACTTTGTATTCTGTATTGTAATAGAAATCAATATATTTGAAAATGTAGAAAAACATCCAAAAATATTTAAATAAATTTCAATTGGTATTCTATTGTTTAACAGAGTGATGAATTTTTTGAGTTAATCGTGTGAGTTTATTGTGACTAATCGACAGCCCTACATTTTTATAGTTTTCTATACAGTGCCTTGCCTGATGGAATCCTGGTCTATAATCGGGGCCAGTAGGCACAAATGTAATTCAAATGATATATATAAAAAACCAATATGCTAAAGCTATATAATTGGTACTCTGCGTTTAAAAGGACACTTTAATTTAAATTAAATCCCAATTTTAACTCTTGCATATGAAAGGATTTTACCTGAAATGTAATATTAAGGTATATGCCTTCATGAATGAGTGAGAATTTTCATTATATAAATACTACTCTGCAGTGTTGGAATTAAAACTCATCAGCTTTTTTCTGTTCCATTAGAACCAGAATGTGACACTCTAAATCCAAATGAAACTTATTATTTTGATTTTATCATATAATAATGAGTAAGGTGCACACATTAAATAGAAGAAATGGTAGAATACTTAACTAGATTAAAACTGAAAACATTTAAATTCTAATAATGGATAAAGGACACTTTTTTGTTCTTAAATTACTTGCCATTTTTTTGTCTTTTTAAAAAGTCATTTTTTAAAAATGCTTGGGTGTTCTTGGATAGTTGATAGAGAATTAGAAAGTTTTATATTTTAGTAATGAAGATTTTTTTTTAAAAGATCATGTATATGATTCATTTTGCTTGTTCAAGTTTTAAATGCAGTTATATTCATGAATATTGATTTAATACACTTTCGTATTTTATCCTCTAAAAGAAATGGAAAATCGGCTTATTTGGGGGAAGTTGAATTTCAAATACCTGGTGCACTAAACTTTCTTTAACAAGACATTAACATTTTGAAATGAAAAATTGTGCAATGTCCTAGTCTAGACTCGAGTAAACTAAATTGGCAATAATGACCTAGTTAAATCTTCAGTAATTAAACATGCGTTTATCAAAAGATTGATCAAAGTATATACATCTTAATCACACAAATTAACTTCTCAAAAGTGGTTTTGACAGCCCTGGAGACTGAAAGTTATTAAATCACAGAACAGATACAGCACAGGCAATGACAGTGCATGCTTATCCTTTTCCGGAGGGCCATATTTAGAGTAGTAGCTACGCTCCATGCCCATTTAGTCCTCTACCTGATGACAAGGTGCCAATTGTGTTGGAGGGGTATGACTTGACAATAGGCCTGAGACCACCAATTCATTTTAAGTAGGCTAATAAACATTGACATATAAGGAAAAATTAAAACATCAGTGCTTTATGTCCCCAAATTTAGGCTTTGTGTGGATACAAAGAAATTCTGAATACTTTTCTAAATAAAAATGCCTTTGTGTGTTTTGAAAGTCCACATACTGTATCATTGTGCCACTGTGCATGAGACTAGAAATTGTGAGGCTAAACCAGAGACATAAGAGTGTAAATGCACTGTCATAGTTTGAGTGAAACAGAAAAGTAAACAGCACAAATATTAATATGCAAATGATATTTTGAAAATGTTTTAGTTGTATTTGTTGGTACTTGGGTGAAAAGATTTCCAAAACCTTTTTTTAGATTTTTTTTTTTTAACCAGATTGCACCTTGCTTTCTCCGCAAGGTTCTAAACTTTTGATGCACTTGGTTTCTAGGTATTGAAAATGACATTTCAGTATGTGAGGCTACAGATGTCTCTTGTGAAGTTTTTAATGAAAACAAGAATAAGCCCAGTGGGGAATCAAAGAAAACTGGGAGAATCAAAAAGGTCAGTCTACATAGACACAATGTCAAGACCATTTTTTATATGTAATATATGATTTTAACACCTTTAAAAAATAAAACTTTCCTCAGTATGCAATGCAAAATGATCTATTGAATTTTCTGTCATTTTTTTGTTTACATTTTGGGTGAATATTGAATAGGAAGGCCTAGACAGGCCTACTCTAGTGAGGCTTGACAATGTATGAACTACATCATATGATTGTCAGTGTATTTAGAATATGACTTGAAAACATGCCTTAAGCTTCTCTGTATCAGAGAACTACTAATTGTGATATTTTTAGCAGTTATATTGTGAAGAAGCATCCATTTAAACAAAGTGGGTTTCACTTCTATGTGCTGTATAGTACTAAACAATTTATGGTTCAAGCAGGACTTGAATGTAAAACTTTGAAGATGAAGCATTACTATAGAACTACTCTCACTTAATCTTTCTGGTTTTTCACTTTTTAAAAACCTTGTTCTTGGTAAATGTAAAATTGATTAGCAGCAAATATAACTGGTAAAAGTAAATTTACATACTATGTACCACCTGGCAGAATGAAGATAAAGATGGCTGAAGTTTCTTGCGGACAAAATCACCCAGAGAGATGAAGTATAAACCAGCTAAAGTAGGATAGAAAGCTAGCCCATGTTTCAAAGGATGTCTGTCTAAAGAATTTCAGAGAGATCTGCTGGTCAAAAGACCTGTTTTCCTTCTACATTGAAATATTAAGTAGGTGCAATTATTGGAGAGCTTCCAAATTAAATGCCACTCTTGGTAGCAGGTTGCTGGACTAGATGGACCAATGGTTCTTGCCTTTATGCTACTTGATTCTTTTAACTGTTCGCAGACAGATTCTCTTTAAAAAGAAAGAGAACAGACTTGCTAAAATCACGGCTGTTGCTATATTTCAAGATTTCTGGTCCACTATTTTGAAGAATTTAGTCAGAACCATCTCATGATTTGCCACAAAAATTTGACTCTGTATTGCACCCCCAGAAAATATCACCATTCAACCTTTGTTCGGACTACTTACAATAGCAATGATTGAGATTCTGTATCAGATTTGTAAAAAGCAACAATGAGTCCTGGGGCACCTTATAGACTAACAGATGTATTGGAGCATAAGCTTTCGTGGGTGAATACCCATTTCGTCAGACACATGAATTCTTTGTCACTGATTCATTCATCTTTAGTCTGTGTAAATTGTTTACTACCACAAGTGTATACAATAGTTCCCATTTTATCTCATTGCTCTTGTCTGTTTTGGGAGCCTTGTTTATCTTAACTTTTTTTTTGTTTAGTATTAAGCATTTTACATAACTCAATATACAAGCAGTATTAGCAGAATCCAATCTTATCACAATACTAATTTACAAGGCTCTTTCAAAAGTTTATAAATTGCTGTTGCTTCCTGTCTAATTGAAACCAAGAGTGGTTCTGCAGAATTCCAGTTGTATAAGGCTGTGTTTGATCCTGCTACTGTAGTTACAGATACTCATTTTGAAATGTGATCTGCTCAAATTATTATTTAGCCTGTAAAAAACAGTCTGGGAAACAGTATAAACTACAGTTAATTTTCCTTCAAAAGTTGGTTTAGAATCAGGACTCCCATAAGAAGTATTTTGAATGATAATTGATTTTAATACTTTTTCACAAGTGAAAAGGTTGTCACTATATTAACTGGGATTCAAGAATTGTGTTTCCAGCCCTCGCTCCTTCTTCATTAGTTTTGAACATCAATGATACCTGTACTGTCTAGGTGAGAGGTAGATCTCTGCAAAGTGCAGTATCTGTTGCTCTTTCCCAGCCAGAACAGAATAGCAATATAATCATGCCAGTTTCAGTTATTTTGCTAATTTTATTTCAAGATACCCGTCAGCAAATATGTCTGTAACAATGCAGACAACAAAAAAGATTCAGGAAATGTTTTTGACAAATAGATTCCTTACTAGGCATATTAATACAGAACTTTGAGTAATTAATGTAAACAGAAATATATTTCCTGCACCCCTCAGAAGCAGAGCAAAAACTTGGGGGGATCAGGGGTAACAGAGGAGCTGAGGCAGAGGGAAGTAATTGCTAGAAAAGAGCCTGGGAGTGAACTTGTAGGGTTGTTGGGTGTGGGTGGGAGAAGTACAGAACAGTTATTTTTTTTGGGGGGGGGGGGGAGGGTATTGTTAGGGAGTTGGGGAGCCTTCCCCATGCAGATCCTGGGGAACTACAGATGATGAGCCTCACTTCAGTCCCCGGCAAAATCATGGAGCAGGTACTCAAGGAATCCATTCTGAAGCACTTAGAGGAGAGGAAGGTGATCAGGAACAGTCCACATGGATTCACCAAGGGCAAGTCATGCCTGACCAGCCTGATTGCCTTCTATGATGAGATAACTGGCTCTGTGGATATTGGGAAAGCGGTGGATGTGATAAATCTTGACTTTAGCAAAGCTTTTGATATGGTCTCCCACAGTATTCTTGCCAGCAAGTTAAAAAAGTATGGACTGGATGAATGGACTATAAGATGGATAGAAAGCTGGCTAGATTGTCGGGCTCAACGGGTAGTGATCAACTGCTCGATGTCTAGTTGGCAACCGGTATCAAGTGGAGTGCCCCAAGGGTCGGTCCTGGTGCCGGTTTTGTTCAACATCTTTATTAATGATCTGGATGATGGGATGAATTGCACCCTCAGCAAAGTTCGCAGATGACACTAAGCTGGGGGGGAGAGGTAGATACACTGGAGGATAGGGTCCAGAGTGACCTAGAGAAATAGGAGGATTGGGCCAAAAGAAATCTGATGAGGTTCAACAAGGACAAGTGCAGAGTGGGAGAGAGCAGATGCCCACTGCAAAGGAGGGGGATAATGCTCCAGTCCCTCCCCCAGTGGTACAATTGTTGCCAGACGAGGCAGTTGCGGGGCCTGGGCAGGCCAGCCCACCCGATGACTTCAAGGAGCACCAATCCCTACTGCGAAGTATGGCCTTGAATTTGGGCTTGGAGGTGAAGGAAATGACAGAGCAATTGGACAACCTATTCAATGTGCTTCCGGCGACAACCCCCTCGCAGGTCGCATATCCTGTGCATGAAAGGGTTCTAAAGATAGCCAAGGCCCTCTGGCAAACCCCATCCTCTATCTCGCCAACATCCAAGTGGGCTGAAAAAAAATATTTCGTGCCTGCTAAAGGGTTTGAATACTTGTATACCTACCCGCCCTGGGATCGCTGGTCGTTTCTGCTGCCAATAAAAGGGACAGGCAAGGGCAGGCGAGTTCCACTCCCAAAAAGAAAGACGGCAAGAAGCTGGACCTTTTCGGAAGGAAAGTTTATTCAACAGTCAGCCTTGAGTTTTGAGTGTCTAACCATCAAGCCCCATTGGGCAGATTTTATTTTGTGGGACTCCATAAAGAAGTTTAAAGACTTCCTGCCCGAGGACCTGGGCCAGGAGTTTGCCACCATTTTGGAGGAGGGTAACGCTGTGGCGAGGAGCTCCCTGGCCTGGGATGCGGCAGAGTTGGCAGTCTGGGTTGTTACCTCAGCCGTGGTGATTGGGCGGAGTTCCTGGCTTCAATCCGCGGGTCTGTCCCAGGAGATGCAGTCCTCCATCCAGGACCTCCCCTTTGACGGGATTGGACTCTTCTCAGAGCAAATGGCTGCGAGGCTGCATGGACTCAATGACACTCAAGATACCCTCTGCTCGCTAGGCTTGCATATGCCGCAATCAACGAGGAGGCAGTTCAGGCCACCCCCATGATCTAGGCCTTGGCTTCCCTGGCAGGGCTCTTCTAAGAAAAGAGATAAAGACATTGTGTTCAGCTGTCACCGTTGCCCCTCTGTCTCCCGTTCACCCATCCAACCAGGCTCCTCAAAACACCAAGGGGGCCAGAAGCACTCGTTTCGAGGGTATGCTCAAGGATGGTGCCCAGTCAAGCCTCAGGATCCACCACCCTAATCATTCCTCAACCATGTGCATCCCTTCTGGTCGGCTTGGTCGCGAGTAACCTCAGACTGCTGGGTGCTCGGCATAATATCTCTGGATGACACCCTGCAATTTTCGGCCTTCCTTCCCTCCCCCATCCCTCTTCAGGGACCCTTCCCACGAGCAACTCCTCGTTCAAGAAGTGGAAAACCTCCTATGACTGGGAGCAGTGGAGGAGGTCCCCCGGGATATGAGGGGAAAAGAGTTCTACTCCCACTATTTCTTAATTCGGAAATGAAAGGGGGCCTAAGACCCATTTTTGACCTGCGACACCTCAACAAGTATCTCAAAAAGTTGAAGTTTTGCATAGTCTGCCTGGCCTGCATCATTCCCTCCCTGGATCTGGGAGACTGGTACATCCCCCTTGACTTGAAGGACGCATACTTTCATATCTCCATCTTCCAAGGGCCCAAACTGTTCCTCCATTTTGTGGTGGGCCAGTGCCATTTCCAATTCACGTGCTACGCTTTGGATTCTTGTTGGCCCCGCGAGTGTTCACAAAATGTATGGTGCCGGTGGCCACTTACCTGACGCGTCAAGAGGTCCAGGTTTATCTATACCTTGACGACTGGCTCATCAAGGGCAGATCTTGGGATCAGGTTTGAAGGAGCCTCGATCTGTGTTCCACCTGCCACTATCTGGGCCTGTTAATAAACAAAAAGAAATCAACCCTGATACCGGTACAACGGATAGAGTTTATAGGAATGGTCCTCGTCACCATGTGAGCCAGAGCCTTTCTCCCAGAGGCCTGTTTCCAAGCCATGTCAGACCTGATCTTGCCTGTGAGAACCCACCTGTTCACCACCTCTCATATGTGCCTCAGGTTGCTAGGTCACATAGCCGCCTGTACTTACGTGGTCCGTCACGCCCAGCTCCACCTCAGACCACTGCAAGCGTGGTTACATCCCCAACAGGAACAATCTGGACTGGGTGGTCCGGGTGCCAGGTCACATACAGTTGTCTCTGGAATGGGTGGCTGGACCCCGGATCAGTGTTAAAGGGTCCCTTTGCTGCCCCGTCCCTGTCACTGAT